AGGACCACTATAGGCACCCAGACCACTTCAGCTCAATGAAGTGGTCTGGGTGCCAGGTCCATCTAGGGTAAACCCTGCAGCTGTAAACATAGCAGTTACAGAGAAACTGCTATGTTTACAATAGGGTTAATCCAGGCTCTAGTGGCTGTCTCATTGAAAATCACAGTGAGAAGACACTGCCGTCCATAGGAAAGCATTGAGAAATGCTTTCCTATGGACTGATTGAATGCACGAGCGGTTCTTGCCGCCCATGCACATTTAAAGCTGACGTCGGGAGAGAGAGGAGATTTCCCCAGCGCCGAGGGAGCCTGGTGCTGGAGAAAGGTAAGAGTTTAACCCCTTTCTTCCCCTTCAGCCGGTGAGAGTGGGACCTTGAGGGTGGGCGGGACCTAAAGACGAGTTTGCTTTCCTGGCACAATAGTGATCCTTTAACCCCTTAAGGACCAAACTTCTGGAATAAAAGGGAATCATGACATGTCACACATGTCATGTGTCCTTAAAGGGGTTAATATGCTTTTTAGTTGTATCTCCTGTAAGGATTGTCAGACAATATATAAATGTATCAAAACAGTGATGAGGGGTGGGGAATTACACTTGTTCTGTTTCTATTTCTTTTTCTTTTTAAATATGCAGCTTTAATTTAAATTTAGGGGACAAACCTGTAATTTAATAAGAGGTTTTGACAACTGTGGTGTCATGCTGGATAATATTATCAGCAGTAGTTGACATCTACTGCTGATAAAAAAAGACCATGGATTGCTTTTAATGTGCTCCACCCAATTTGGCCCTAATGTAGCAGATTGCAAGGGTCTTTATTCAAAAATGCATCATAGCAATTTTCATTTTTTTCAGTGTTTTTTTGTGTCCTTAGTAAAATCCACCCAGGTTAAAAAGAAGCTGTTCTAGGGCCCTTAATTTCTGATGATAGCCCTGTTGAACGTGTTCTGCTAAATATGCGCTAAATGTGTTTGTAACCTGAAGTGGCTACTGCAACATTTGAGCATTACATAGTAGTAGCCCCCCATTGTTAAAGAGGAACAGCCACTTCCAGTGAAGTGATAGTTCCTTGTTCCTTCATGAAAGTAAATATGTTTGCAGCATTTACTAGGGTGAATAAATCAGCAGAGGTAAGTAAACATTTATTTTCTGCTGTACTTCAGCACTGTGATGGCTTCCTCCTCCCATAATGCCTTGGGCATGTGCATTCATGCTCGAACATCTAACTGAAAAATACTGAATGAGTGCATTTGCCATTTTCTTCAACAGTGCTGCACACATGCATGCGCACTCCATGTGAATGGTGCTGCGAGAGTTAATGGCTAATTTACATACTTTGACAAGCTTTGTCTGACAATATATGCAAAATAAAATAAAATAAAACAAGGAATTTAAAAAACTATTTAGTACAACCAATAGCTCACTTTAAGTTAGCTATCACATTGTGTAAAAGTTCCTCTTCAGGGGGATTCCTAAACAGTTTCCATTATTTATGTGTACACATTGTAGCATAAATATATTTTAATATAGTCAAATGGGTCTAATTTTATTACTTATCCCATATCTTTTTCCTTGCACCTTAAGTGCTAAAGAGAGAACGAGAGATAGAGAGAGAAAAGGAGAGACAAAAAGAAAAAGAGAGAAATATAGATTGAAATGTGATTATATACATTATTCTGTCAAACATCTAGATTGTAAGCGGGGCCCTCTTCATATCTTAATCTCCTTTTCAAAATATATAACTGTATAATTGTACAGTACTTCAGAATATGTTGTTGCTATTTAATTGCTAATAACAATATGTCATTTAATTACAAATATCTAGAAAGTATACTTCCTCGGTACAGTTTTTATGCTATATTTTCTGGGTGTACCATAAACTGAACTAATCTCCTTTCGTTTTTATGCAGTAAAGCTTAGACTTGATTTTTTTTATTGGCGTATTTAAAAGGGTGGGAATGGTTAGATAGATAATGTGAAGCTTTTCAATGCCATCAACTATTAAATAATATATAACGAACGAGCGGCTGTTTGTACAAATAATACTCTTACTTCTGTAAGCTGTCAGCCTGCTGTCATTCCCAAAGGAAGGTAACCAGGACGCTCATTGTATAATTATTTTGTATAAATCATTAACGCATAGTGGCAAAGGGAGGATATAGACAAAGCTAGGAGATGAATAGACATAACTGCCAGTAACTGAAAATGTCATGTGATTACCTCAATGCAAAACTTAAATTGGTATATTTTTTATATATATATTTATTTATGCAATATTTTACCAAGAAATACGTTAAGATTTCTCTTATATTTAAGTATGTCCTGGAGTATAAATTGTATACATTTTGAGAGGCATTTTGCAAATACGTAGAGCTGTATTTGGGTCAAACTATAATCAGGGTTATTTACTAAAGTGAGAATTTAAAGTGAGTTTGACTTTCAAGGCCAGAGTAGCCATACTGAAAGCATAGCTGACTCAGATAATTATTCCAGTTTGACTATTTTAACCTTAAATTTGAAATTCCTTTTGAATTAGTTCTGTAGGTTCAGATTTTATTGTTAAATCAGCATAAATCATAAAGGATGCATGATTACGGTGAGTATTCACTTTCATAATGTTATCCTGTGCGTGATTTTAAATAAAAGATGCACTGTATTAAAGAAACGGATCACTGAAACGTTTTGCTAATACGCTTTTTAAAACAGTATTATGATAAAAACAGTATATGATAAAACGTTATACATATGTATGTATAAATTCTTAATATACCTCACAAGATGTTTTCTTCATTGTTTTTGAGTCTGTTCCCAGAGCTTCCACATCCAGCTCTTGTAAATCAAAAAAAGTTTCTCGCAGTTTCTTGCAGCGATGATGTCCTTTGGGTTCTTTTCAGTCTGCAGCAGTTTTCTGTGCTTTTATCATTTTTCTTTGATTTATGCATTGAATAAATTCCCACCTACAAGTCTTCCAGGTTTTTAAGGCTTATATTTCTGATCACAGAGCTCATAATATCCAACTCCTCTTTACCAAATGCATGACATGTTAATAACCAGCCTGGGTGCTATTCTCTCACCAAAAAAGCAAGTGAAAAAAGGTTAGCAGGGCTGTTCCCAGTGTGTGGCTTTCTTTAACTTCTCTCCACCTGCTGTATTATCCTTTCCTTTGTTCTTCCTGACATAATGCCAGACACTGAAGACACACCAGCAGGTCATGCAGTGTGTATACCTCTGGCAACCAGGAAGTACTCTCACCTTAGCAGATCATTTGAATAATGTGAAAGCTGAGATGAGAAATCAGAAAAAAAAAAAAAAAAAGAAAATGAGGAAGGGCTTCACCTTGTTAAACACTAATACATTTTTTTATTATTATTATTATTAGTAGTAGTATTATTATTTGTTGTTGTTATTATTGTATAAGCAAGAACAGATGGATAGTGGAATAAAACACAATACTAATAATTTCAGAGTTATGATTAATTTAGTTAGAAATCATTCTAAAATGCAAATGCCCCAAATAGTTCTGGGGCATTTGCATCAAATCAGTCAAAACTAGAGTGCAGATTCAGTTGTGATCTGCAGCCAGTTCACTGTTTGCACATGAGTTATACTTGTCATTAGGAGTTTTCATTATAATCTATTTTTAGTGCTACAGAAAACTGTGTAGTAATTTTTCCATCAAAGTTCCAAAGCGATCTGGATTAAAAATACCAATGTACTGTAGCGAATCGGCTCGGGTAAAGTCAGGTGACAAATTGTGGTTTATTCACTAAATATTACATACCACTGATATATAGGCATAAATAACAAAGCTCTGAGGCTAGTTGAATTTGAGAATTTTTGTAAATCAAAACTTTTTAAAGTGGATTTAGATTTTTGCCCAACCCAGTAACTTAAAGTTCCATTTTACTAATATTCTCAGTATTGTTATTTTAACTTAGAAGACTCGTTGAACAAGGCATGTAAATTACATTAAAGTGAATCTATAGTGCCAGGAAAAAAAAGTTGTTTTTCTGGCACTATTTATTTATTTTACTTATTACTGGCATTTAAAAGGCGCCAACATATTCCGCAGCGCTGTACAATTGGGAAAGACAGCACAACAATAAGAACGGACCGAAACAACAGGTAGAGGGCCCTGCCTGTGAGTTTACAATCTAAAGGTTAAACTGGGAAGATGAGACAATAGATAGCAGAGGAATTTGTATGTGATGGCAGAGTGAATTAACAGTATAATTACTGCAATTGATAGTTAAACGGGACCTCTCTCCAGTGAACCCGACCCGTTACCTCCCGTTAGTTCCCTTCCTTCAGCCGATCAGGAACTCTTGCATGGTTAGGAGACTTAGCTCTATGCGCTCCCAGGCAGAGACAACACTCAGCCCTGGAAGCTCTTTACCAGGACTTTTCCTCATTGCAACCCTGCAAGCTGGAACAGCAGACACAGAGTTTTAAATCTTCCTTCCCTCCAATAATATGACGACGCACAGTTTTGGAGGTTTAACCCCTTAATGACACAACTTCTGGAATATAAGGGAATCATGACGGAATATTTCCGTCATGTGTCCTTAAGGGGTTAAAATACTGGACTCTGCCAGACTGACACTCTTTATTGACTACAGGCTTCTTTTATGCACAACCCCCGCAGGGGGTCTCCATTCCACACAATACACTTCACCCTAGTCCCAGGCAGGAGGGGGCAAGGTTCCAGATAGCCCCTGGAGAGATACCAAACAGTACACAGGGATACACATTAAACCATATTGCATTCAGGGGTGTTACACTTTGGGGCTCGGTGCCCCTAGAAGGGAAGGGGTTACAGGGTTAAAAACCTACATTGCTAGATAGCCCCGGGTCCCATATGGAAAATTAGCCCAGAAATTAATTTGCACCAATCAGTGCCCAGGGACGAGAGGGGTTTCGCCACTCAATCAAAAGAAAGGGCGCACTCCCTGTTTGAACAAGCGCTCATTCTCTGATTGATCGTCCGCTCCCTGCAGCAACCAATCAGCGCTTACTCATGCCGACCAATCAGGAGAATGGCGCGAACCCAGTTTGAATATGCGCTCCTTCTCCCATTGGTCGGAATGGACTTTCAAGCGGCCAGACCGACTCACAGCTCCAGAGATTCCCTGCTGGCACGCGTTCCTCTCTCTGGTGTATATCCCCACACAGGTATCCGTCGGAGAGAGTGTTCTCCTGGGTAGCTACAAGCCTATCCTTGTAGCTGCCAGGTAGGAGGGATGGGAAACAGTGATTATAGCTCCATTGTGGAGCGGGTAGGGCGGTCCCCGACATGGGGACCGAAGACAGGATGCGCAGGCTGGTTTTGGGATACAAATGCTGCCCCCTTATGATGTTCGGCTATACGAACCGGCGGCCACCCAGGAGAACCACACATTCTAAACTGAGTATCCGGGTGGTCTGGCGCATAGGGCTCCATGCGCCAGAGTGCCCCCACGTGGCTGAAAAGTAAAATACAAGGGGAAACACATTTAACAAGGAAAAATCATAACAATACACATTGGGGACACACAATACAAACCCAAACATCTGAATACTTAGTGGGCATGGCACTTAGTGGTGGTGTCCCGCCACAGATAGCATGTGAAGGGAATAAGGCTGTAGTTCCAAACAGCTGGAAGAGCATGCAATACAGTTAGAAGCAACCAGGGTGAGTGGGTAGAGCCGAGTAAAATTAAAGGGCCTTGTTGCAGGGATGGATGATGAATTGGGGCTAAGGAAAAGATAAAACAGTTAGTTAAAAGGAATTTACAGCTAGGAGTGGCAAGCGGGTGGGAGGCGGAATGGAGCAGATGTAGCAATGGGAGCAGAAGGGGTTAAAAATCTGGCTAGGACTATGCCTCTAGTGGAAGACAGCCACTAGAGGTGGAGTTAACCCTGGGTAGTAATTTTTGCAGTTTTGTAATAACTGCAATAATTGCTATTGCAGGGTTAAGAAACCAGGGAATATGCCCCCAGACCACTTTAATGAGCTGAAGTGGTCTGGGTACCTGTAGTGTCCCTTTAACCCAGCACACAGCACTCTTAAAAGAATACCCGAGCACACATGTTCTTGTGTGGCTTTTTTGTGCAGATGCTTAGCATGCACAAATGTACTCAGAGTATAATGCTCAGTAATATTGCCCTAAAAATTGAAGTACTACAGAGGTAGTGTATGTTTTTTACTTACGGTACCTCCTCAGCACTTTTTGCCCCAGTAAATGCCTCCATAGATGCCACAGTTTCTTTTTTAATTCGCTATTCGGTTTTTATTTTACTGCAATTTGCATTTAGTCAATAAACCCCAATCATGTTAAATTAGTTTCTTTCCCAAAGTCACTCATTGCTTACATTTTGCACTTCAGACAAGTGTTTTATTTTATATTAACTTTTTATAAGCAGCAATATTTAGTTTAGTTTTTTTCTGGCAACAGTTCATAGCATAACCTCCTAATATAGCATGTTGACTTTCCTTATTATCTAGTAATTTTCTAGGATTTACTATTACCAACTTTTTTTGTTATTCGTAATAATGACTGTAATTGTGAAAACATATATAGAAACACAATATATTTTATAAAGAAACACATCGGCTTTCGTATTTTGATACGCATAAGCGCTACCTTTTTAAGTTTGAATGGACATATATTGTTTTGTGGACCCAAGAAATATATGAAAACGAGATACATATTTTATAAATAAATAAAAATACAGTATTCACAGAGGTTTGTCTGAAGCCCAATGTAATTAAAAGTTTGCAGTGTGTGTAACATTATGTAGGAATGAAGTATAGAGTTTTTGCATACTGTCATGATACCTAATAAACCATAAATCACTAATTATTATCAAATGAAGGTCCATACAGTGGAATAACTTGATTTTCCTGAATGTTAGGGAACAGAAAATGGCAACATGTTAAGTAGGTTGTTACGTGTAGAGCATATGTTTACTTGAGTCGCAAAACTTGAAAATGGTATTTGCTCTTTAGGGTCAATGTAGTTTCTGTTAGATAGAATGAATATATTTTTACACTGTTTTATTTTTGTAAATAATATATATTGTATTCCATAAGCCCACCCGTATTGTCTCCACTAGCAAACCACAACATTTCTGGTTTGTTCCAGTAATACAGATGTCATCACAAACAACTCTGAAAGGTAAGATTTGGGAAGTGATTATAGTATTAAAAATGAGGAAGAAAACATTTAAAAACAACCAAAGTGTTGAAAGAATATATGAGAAGGAAAGAAGGAAGCTCAGAGTAAAATAAATGGTGTAAGAAAAAAAAAAAAGCAGAGGAGGATGGGAGTACAAAATGATGGTAAGTAAAGGAACACTACAAACACGATAACTGAACTGCCAGTAGTTATGGTGCTAGGAGTCTACTGGCAGCACCCAAAGGCAAGGAGTCAAACTGCTGTAAAAATATTTTGGCATCACTCCTCGCCTCCTCTACAGCTCGGTGAGATCCTGAAGATCCTGAGATCCTGAAGCATTAACTGAGAGTGTTACCTGATTGCTTTTAGCCCTGCATTGTAAAAAAGTGCTTTAGGATTTTTACTAGGCAGTAAAAGAGGTAGGGAGCGGTGCCAGTCAAACCCCAGGTAATGATTCATACCATCAAAACGTTCCCATCTTACAGGACACTCCAAGCAACATAACTACTACAGTTCACTGTTGCCCTGGGCCCCCCTTTTAGTAAGGAGACACATTGCTTTAGAACATTTTTATTTTTGTGCTTCAGGGGAATCTGTTCGTCCAATGTTTTAAAGGGAGACTATAGTCACCAGAACAACTATAGTTTCATGTAGTTGTTTTGGTGTTTACAGCCTGTCCCTGCAGGATTTTTAATGTAAACACTGCTGTAATGGATCCCCTATAGTCCGACCGAGTATATCTGTTGTAAATCTCCCGAGTCCCAAGTGAAATAGTGATTATAACTCAGAGCTACCCAAACACCAGCCTAGACTTGATGAAGAGTACAAATGAACTGATTTATTATGGCCAGACGGCCCACCTATATACACAGACTCCCAGCATGGCATCTCAAGCAAGGACATAGCAACACACGACTAAACCAATCCCACAACACGCCCCTGAGTCTCTGTTTCTGGGAGATAATTTAGTGTACTTTGCTTAAACTAATTATCTCCCAGGCACTAGAGTTATAAAGTATAAAACATAAAATATTAAAAATATATATAACACCTATAGGAAGCCTCACAAATATTATATCCCTGGATAGCCTGGATCTGAGCACCCAAGTTGTCCGTATAGCGCTCCCACTAACACAGCCGAATCGTCACCGGGGTAAAGTTTTGACTGCCCACACACGTGGCATGTATCCAAATCAGTTCCAGAGAATCAGTGGTAGTGGTCGGTCATTTTCGGGAGTTGCAAACCGAACAAAAAGATGAATGGTTCCCCTGGCTCATAGGTAGTGATTGTTCACCATGTTCATGCAACCAATTCTACCGAACAGCGGTCTCCTGGCTTGTCGTGGGAAGAAGCTGACGTTCATATGAAAGCACCAAGGCTTATAGACTTATAGTTCCAGACACTCGATGACCAGGTCCCACTGCCTGTGTTCATGCGACAAGATGGCCACTGTTTTCCAGCACACATGTTGATCGGTTATACGAACAGCGGCCATACAGAGAGAGCACTTAAGTTTGTGGTTTCTTTGATGTTTAATAAGCCAGGGGGTGGTCGGTGTTCAGTAGATGGTAGCTCCCGAATGGGGAAAAACGTGAATAGTGTTCGGGAACATAATAACAAAACTTAGCAGGGAAATGTCTTGAACACAGGGTTAAATAGTGAGTTTTGTAATATCACCACGCCCCAGTTTCATGGAGTGGAATACCTGAACGGGTTGGCTTGGGGATGTCCGGAGAAGAGATAGTTATTTTTCCAGTTCGGTATGTCGGGACATTTCATCTGCATTAGCATTCTGCTTTCCTGGCCTGTACTGCATAGTGAAGTTGTAAGGTTGCAGTGCCAGACTCCATCTTAAAAGCCTGGGGTTGTCGTCTCCGACCACTCGGTTGAGCCAAATTAGGGGGTTGTGGTCAGTCATGATGGTGAAGGACCATCCATACAAGTAAGGCTGTAGTTTCTTTAGTGCCCAGACTAGGGCTAAACGCTCCTTCTCCATGGTGGCATAACTGACTTCCTGGGGTAACAATTTTTTGCTTAGGTAAGTCACTGGGTGTTCCATGCCATCTTCCCCCACCTGGCTTAATACGGTTTCCAGTCCAAACATTGAGGCATCTGTAACGGATCACCTGGCACCCCGACTGGGTACCTCCGTTGAAGGATGCTCCTAGCGCTTCCTGAGGACTTCAAGCACTGCAGCAGACACCACAACCACCGAACCGGAGAAGCATATGAATGCTCTCAAGCATATGAATGCTGTAAGCAGCTGAACAGGAAAAGCATACAATCAGCTTACACTCCTGGCAATCAGCATACAATCCAATTACCCCAATAACGAGACGACACTTCGTTTTGAGGGTCAAGCAGAACTGACTGTACTGGCACATACAGCCTCTTTTATTCACAATCCACAAACATAGTACTGCCCACAGGGTTTTGAATTACAACCAATCAATCCTTACAATACACATAGACACTCCCACACAAAATCCTCCCCTCTGCCTGTGATATGATTACTGAACACAATCGTTAATCTAATTATCACAGGCAGAGAAATACAGTATCATAAAACACATCACAGGGACTCCAAAACATGCAATAACCCCATAAAATGAACCACATATCCAAAATTCACCCAGATCCGTTCAGTAGTTTGGAAGATGCAGTTTAATGCAGAACATATACAGGCTATATGAAAAATAATTACTGTATAATGTGTCCCCTGTTGTATAGTTTAAAACTACTGAACGATGTCTTCGTGCACCAAATACTGGCGAGATGGCACCGTTTAGAAAAGTCCAAACAGTGTCTGTGAGTTAAAATGGCCGCCATCAATTGTTCTCACCATGTGCTTCATCCATTGTTCTCACCATGTGCCTCTGATATATGAAATGGTCACCCAGTAACTCCACAGTATGTCCCCAGATGGTTCTTAAAGGGCCAGCAGCAGCATAATTAAATACAATATGCCCAATTACTGTATTTAAAGGGCCAAATCTCCCAGGGGCCATAGTCAGCAGGCAGGAGGCGGGCAAACAGGCTTTCGCCACAGCATCTGTATGAACGGGAAATTGTTTACTA